AAGTAACATTGGTACATCTTTGTAAGAGGACCACGAGTTACATCTTTGATACCAGATCGCATAGTTACATCCCACCAGATCACTTAGTTACATCTTTGTCACAAGGACACGTAATTACATCGTTTTCATCAGACCACGTACCTATACATCCCACTGGGGGAATCTTGATAATGGGAAACGATAAATATGTCTTATCCAACTAACATAAAAGCCTTAGGCCTAATTATGGCAATATTACGTAGATATTTAAACACTTATCGTGCGCGATGGCTGTGAAAGATTAGTGAGGCATCGTGCGCACTGAATATTCCAAAGAAATAAGTGACTTATGTGACTGTAACACTTCAAAGAACTAAGTGACTTTAACGCTTCAAAGAATTATGTAACAGTAACGCTTTAAAGAATTATGTGACTGTAACGCTTCAAAAAATTAAGTAACTGTAACACTTTAAAGAATCATGTGACTGTAACGCTTCAAAGAACTAAGTGACTGGAAAACTTCAAAGAATTAAGTGTCTGGAACGCTTCAATCCAAAGGTGTACGAGATAAGGTTTGTTAGTCACAGCCGATTTAAACCAATTTTACGCAGATCTTGGATATATATATGTTTTTTCATCCGCTTGGCTCTGATTTTACGAATATAAACAGAAGTAAAATAATAAATATATTCTTAGCAATCAAAATAACCGAATAACTGGACAATGGAAGCACGTTCGAAATATTAATCTTTATCTCTCTCTCTCTCTCCCAAGGTAATGTTGAAAGATTTTAATTGAAGTTCTAGTGGTTGTATAGTTTTTATATGCTTCGTGATTCTCAGCTGACCCTGATATTCATTCTATGTACGTCTAAACTCTGTATGGATAGAGATCGTTGATCGCTCGTTCAGAGGCTTTCTTCTTCTTTTAATAGAAATTTAAACTTCTTTCTTACCATTGCTGTATAGATATCGTAAAATACTTCTGGGGATTATATACAATCTCAGCTATTGTAATATTATTTCTGGGGATTCTAGCAGATCTAAGATATCGTAAAATACTTCTGGGGATTCGTGAACCGTAAATACTGTTAACATGATCTATAAATACTGTTAACATAATCTATAAATACTGTTAACGTGAACCATAAATACTGTTAACATGATCTATAAATACTGTTAACATGAGCTATAAATACTGTTAACGTGAACCATAAATACTGTTAACATGAGCTATAAATACTGTTACCGTGAACCATAAATGCCGTTAACATGAGCTATAAATACTGTTAACGTGAACCATAAATACTGTTAACATGATCTATAAATACTGTTAACGTGAACCATAAATACTGTTAACATGATCTATAAATACTGTTAACGTGAACCATAAATACTGTTAACATGAGCTATAAATACTGTTAACGTGAACCATAAATACTGTTAACATGATCTATAAATACTGTTAACGTGAACCATAAATACCGTTAACATGAACTATAAATACTGCGAACATGAACCGTTTACCGTTAACATGAACCATATACTACTAATATGAAGAACAGACACCGTCAACATGAACCACAATGAACTGGTTTATTCGACATCTTTGATTTCAGCCTAACCCGTGCTTGTACATCTCTAGGTCTGTCTAGCTCAGTGCAAAAGTTAAAAGATAAATAAAACTCTGTTGTGACATATTTTCACCAGAAACACGTGACCACTGCTAAATGTAACAAGGTTTTACACAAAGCTTTTTATGGACACAAGTACTCTGGAAAACAACGGCAAAATAACGTACTAAATTAATGACTGGTCTGTCCACTAGTGACAACGATGGGTATATATATATATATAACTACGTGAACTGTTCACGTTAATATACATACTATGTAATAAAATACTAAAACTGCTTAGCCTTCTTCATTATTCTTATTTTACTGTTTTCTTGGTCATCTTCAGAGTAACCATGCATTATTTTCAAGAAGTTATTTACAAAATTTACGAAACGGATAAAATATTTCTTATTGAATCTAACTTGTTGTTTTTTTTAATCTGGTGAATATGCGAAAAGTCTAAATATAAGTAAACACATATTGTGTTCCACCGCGGATTTCAATAGGAACTATAAACGTCCTGTGTTCCTGTAATCAGCGTAGCATAATTTGATGTGGGATAATTCGATACAAAAGCTGGTTTAGTGCTCGATATATATATATAGGTGTTGTCGTACAGGTGTCAGACCGAGAGTTATTGGCCGGGTGTTGTCGTACAGGTGTCAGACCGAGAGTTATTGGCCGGGTGTTGTCGTACAGGTGTCAGACCGAGAGTTATTGGCCGGGTGTTGTCGTACAGATGTCAGACCGAGAGTTATTGGCCGGGTGTGTTGTATGTAGTCGCTTCAGACCGAGAGTTATTGGGCGAGTGTTGTATGTAGTCGCTCCAGACCGAGAGTTATTGGTCGAGGAGCAGTTGTTATTTATATGTTTTAAGGCTGAGGAGCAGTTGTTATTTATATGTTTTTAAAGTTGAGGAACAGTTGTTATCTATGTGTTTTAAGGCTGAGGAACAGTTGTTATTTTAAAGCTGAGGAACAGTTGTTAGTTATGTGTTTTAAGGCTGAGGAACAGTTGTTATTTATGTGTTTTAAGGCTGAGGAACAGTTGTTATTTATGTGTTTTAAGGCTGAGGAACAGTTGTTATTTATGTATTTTAAGGTTGAGGAACAGTTGTTATTTATGTGTTTTAAGGCTGAGGAACAGTT